TTCGTCTCGTGAGTTTATATATTTTTGATCTTTGAAAAATAATTCATTTTCTTATGTAATTTTCTCTTATAGTTTTTGTGTTTCTTATATATATATAGTTAATTATTATTTTATTAAATTTTAGCAAAAAATAATAGAATATAATATTGATTAACTCATATACAAAAAAAAAAGTCTAACGGTTAATATCTTTATTTAAGATAAAATCAATCAAAGAAATTTGTTGTGGAAAAGAAATGAAAAGAACTTTATAAGAGTATTGGAAGTAAATCCGACTAATTGACTTATTTGTTGTTGTAAAATCGAGATGAACTATGAAAGTATGCGAATACGACGAAACGAAATAACAATTTTTTTTTTTAAAGTAACCAACTAAAATTAGAATCAGGTTAAGGATCTTTGAAAAAATATTTGTCTTTAGTTTAAACATCAAGAATTAAGATAAAAACTAAAAGTTTACTTAAATGATGTGATAATGTATGATTACTTTTAAATTCAATTAAATACATCAACTGGAAGAATTTATATAATAATATTTTATATATTTTATATTCACCCTTTCACTTTCAATTCTTCTAATCTCTATTTATGTTTCTTGTATTGTATTTTAAATTTTTCGTTTAAAAACAAAAAATTATTGTGTGGTAATTCATGTAAGACAAATAGACAATTAATAGAAAAATGAAATATTTTATTAGATCATTAAATTTAGTTTTAGTTTTATTACTCTTTTCAAATGATGTTGAAGTTTTAAAATGATGATGTGAACACCTTAAAATGAGAGAAAACTTGAAAAAACTTTCTAATTATATAATAGATTAGAAATAACATTTGTTGGTTTGCCACTACACATATTCGCAATAACATGTCACCAAATCAAATAGGACGATATGTAATCATATTGCAATAAGCATATGCGGTTACACAAATAACATGACGTAAAGCTTTTCCGGCAAGCATATTAACAAGGAAGAAGAAGAAGAGTTAACAGAGCATAAAGGATAAAGGAGACATCTACTCAGCCATGGAAGTGGAGCCATGGGCGATTTACTCTACCCTGTCCCAAGCAGCGGCAAAACACATAACGGAACTCCTTATCCTATCGGATTGCCAAGCTCTGGTTCTGATTCAGTTTCTCAATGCAGATGAAAAATCGACGAAGTGTTTTGGAGTTGTCACAGATATTCGTTTTCTTTCGTTATTTTTACGGAAGTATCTTATCGATTTTTTTTAACGCTGCAATTTTA